CGTTGTGTATTAATATCATCGAAACTAAATTCTAAATCAAATTTCGGTAATGTCGCATCAGCTGTTTGAGTATTTTCTTGACGTTGTGTATTAATTGTATTAGTATCATCGAAACTAAATTCTACGTCAAATTTTGGTAATGTCACATCAGTTGTTTGAATAATTTCTTGATGTTGTGTACTGATACTGTTATTATCTTCGAAACTAAATTCTAAATCAAATTTCGGTAATGTAATATCAGCTGCTTGAATATTTTCTTGATGCTGTGTATTAATTCTATTTGTAAGTACTAATACAGGACTTGGATTTGTTATTTGATTTGATGATGATTCCATATGTTGATTAAATGCTTCTAATAATTCATCATCATCCATACCATCATCATCATCATCAAAAAGACTTTTTTGTTGAGATTTAACATCATTTATCTGTAATGTTGGTGATAAATGAGATGTTTGAGATGCTGGAAACAGATCATCCATTGTAATATTAAAATTTCCAGTATTAACATCATCATTATCATATATGGATTCAATATTAGTTGATTCCAACTTTGGACATGTTATATCAAATGTTGAACCAGCTAAACATAAAATAATGAAATCTAGTTTTTCTAAGATAATCAACACTTACTACCAAATAAATCTCCACAATCAATTTCTTCATCTTTTTTATGTACAATCGGTTGAAGATTTAATAATTGATCACATTCGTTGGGTAATTTCGATAGATCAAGTGGTGAACATATTACTTTTGTTTTAATTTGTTCTTTTAATTTTGAACGATCAAATGGTGATGGCATTTTTGGTCGTTCAGGAATAACTGTTTCAATTGGTGTTGGTTCATCCATTGGCCATGTCTAAAATTATTTTGATCATATAATTTCGAATATTTTTTGAAATATTCAATTTACATTATTTGGAATATCAACAAAAATTCTTTCATTCGTATAATTCTTCATAAAATCTACTAATATTTTCGTTCGAGATGAATGCATTGTTTGACTTTGAATCTCTCGTTGTTCATTTGACCATTTTTCAATAACTGTTTTCATCATTAATTTTAATCGATCTTTCTATAAAACAAAAATTGAATTCAATCCTTTTACGAAAGACTAACCAACTTACAGTAGATATTGATTTTTCATTATCATCATCATCATCATCATTTAATTGATAATTTCTTACCCAATGATAAAATTCATTATCAGTAAGCAATTTATCTTTACGAAATAATTTCAACAAATTTTCTACATAAAAAAATACATACTTGAATATGATGAAAAAAAAACGCAACATTTCTATTTCTATTAACCTTGTTGTTTAGTTTTATTTATTATTGAATTAAAATCTGTATCGTTTGCTTTAAATTTTTTTTTATTTTGTCTATCCGATATATCAGTATCATCAGTCATTTTAACTGCCATTTCTTGACACTTAGGTTGAATATCAGATGGAACCATTCGAAGATTATTAGGATATAAATTTAGCATACGTGCACCATCAATAATTAATTTAAATATACGTTTTTGTTGCATTTCACCTTCATGATATGTTCGTTCTTCTTTACCTCTAGATTAATAAGACAAATAAATAAATTATTAAAATCCGATAAATAAACGAACTCAGTCATAAGAAGAACAATTCGACCTTGTCGAGCACGTCCTGTTCGACCCATACGTTGAACAAGTCGAATAGGTGATTTAAGTGCATCAAAACAAATAATTAAATCAACACTACCAATATCTAAACCTTCTTCACCAATTGATGTTGCTACAAGTACATTATAACCACCAGCACGAAAATCAGTCACAACTTTTTTTTGTAATTTTTGATTGATACCCTCTAAAAACAATAGTTTATTTATTTATAGGGAGATGTGCATATTAAAATATCTAACACATACGTCCAGCACCATGTGATGAAGCTTGTCCAATAAATAACATTGGTTTCACTAATGGTCGATCTTGTTCAAGAAGTTCTGTAATTTCTCTAACACTATCACGTTTTTCACTAAATATAATAACACGTGTTTGATCATCGGCTTTTGTTTTTGTACGTTCAAATGTTTGAAAATGTTCAACAACACATTCACGTAATTTAGCTAATTTTGGATGAGCAACTTGAACACTTGTTACACGTCGTTGTTGTGTACTGACTTGTGATAAATCAAATAGATTTTGTAATTGAGTATAGATTTCATTTAATTCGGTATTATGTTTAAATGTTGCATGTAATAAACCATTTTTTTTATCTTCAGTTAATTTTTTTTTAAAGAAATTATATACAGATTGTAAACCATGTTTTTCTAATTCATCAAGTGCATGAAAGAATGATATGGCAAAGAAAATTGCACCTTTAGCTTCTTGGTATTGTTTATCCTGAATAAAAAAAAACTATATCATATAATCTTTCCATGGAACATATATACATACATTTAAATTCGTTGGCTTATCTTTTGTTACTTTTTTCATTGTTAAAATAAGTGATCCACATGAAATATGTTCAGGATTCTTTTGATAAACAACTCCTAATTTAGCAAGTGTTTCAACTGGTTTTTGGAGTATACTTAAAATACATCGTCGCATATCTTGCATTAATTTATTAGAACTAACAACAATTTTATCAATTATTTTATCAAAACTATATTTTTTAATATCAGGTGAATCATCTGTAAACATTTCAATATGAGATATTTTAAGATTTTGAATAACATTTTGTACAGCCTATTTATAAATGTAATTCAAGAAAATTTTAATTTATGTATTGTTTTTTACTTCGACATTATTTCCTGGTGTTGCACTAAGTGCAAGAATACGATAATCTTCACCATTTCTACTTAATTCTTGAACAACCTAATTGAAAAGAAAGTAAAATTTGAAAAAGAATAAAATAGATTATACATACTTGACAATAAGCATGTTGACCAAGTGCTCGATGTGCTTCATCAATAATTAAACAACGAACTTTTGCCCATGGACATGTAGTTTTAACAAGATCATTATTTAATGTTTGTGGTGTTAAGAAAAAGACTCTTTTTTCTAACCAAAGTCTTTTTCGTTCTTCTGGATTAACTCCACCAGTCATTTCACACATTTCACTCTTTCGAATACCCATTACTTTAGCACAAGCATCCATTTGTTGAGCAACTAATGGTTTAGTTGGAGCAGTAAATATAATTTTACCAGTTGGATACCAACGACAATAATTATACATAACAACAGCTGCTATAAATGTTTTTCCCAGACCAGTTGGTAGAACGACAAGTGTATTTTGAAATAATGCTTCACTAACTATCTTATATTGATAATCACGTTTTTCATAATTTGTTGGATAAATCCAAATAGATCCTGATTGTCGATCAAAATCTGGATATGTATGCATATGTTCATTTACATTTACAGGTGCTGATACTGATCCATGATGTGTTTGTTTAGAATTTTGTTCTGGTTTATAGGTTATTGGCCATTTTGATGTAGATGTTGTTGTTGTTGGAGGTGGTTTAGTTGCTGGAACAGAATAAGAAGAAGAAGACGAAGAAGAAGGTAAATTATTCTTTTCAAACTGTTCCATAGCAGTTAATAATTCGATATCATCATCATCATCATCGTCGTCAATATGTTGAGGTACTGATGGATTTTTAATATTAGTTGTTGATGATAATTTAGATTTATTAGATGACCAAAATTGTCCAAGAGTAGTTTGATTTTTTGACATTGTTGAACTACTAGTCGTTTTCTTCATCTAAATCAAATAAAGTGTTATTATAAAAAAGGCGCAAAGAATATTTTTTAATTGATATCAATCTGACAATTCGTTTTTTCTTTCTGTTCTGTCTGTTGAATGATAGGCATTCTTTTATGAACCAATGAATATATTTCTATGAAATATTGTTCACTAATACCCTCTATCTAACTTCTAACAACATTTAATTTTTCAATTGACATTCTTATATTTATAAAAAGCTCATAAATTGAAAGGTCTTTGAATAAAACTATCTGAGGGATGTGAGTGCACCTTCTCTTAACTTTGTTTTCTATTATTATGATATTTTTTAAAATCATTTTCATTAATTTAGTTAATTCTTTTCCATTCATCGTCGAACCAATTTTGATATCAAGTTGATCAATAACAAATAATGATATATATATATATACTTTTTATAACTGATGTTAAAAATTTTAATATAAATTTTTCTAGTGCATCTAAACGATGTTCAAAATGAAACAATGGATCTTTCCAAAAAATATTGAATAAAAATAATCGAGTAACTTTAATATTGTGTTCCCTTTATGAGATTCTATACTTTTTAATGGAAAATAATCTGTTGTAAATGTATATAATATACGACAATGATAGATACATTTATAGAATATGATTAAATTGTTCATATAATATTAATTCAAGATTTATTTAACGATATAATAAAGAAAATAATCACCAAAAAATATAAATATCTTTTTCTCGATTACATAAATCAAGAATAATTGTAAGAACAGAAACAATTCAACGACATTGATCAATAGTTTTTATTTCGTCAATATTGTTTATAATAAAATGAGGTGTTGTACCAAGCGAACTAATTATTGGATGTTTAAATAAATTTAATAAATATGTACTAATTGTTGACATACCAAAATATACCAAAACTTCATTTGCCTAAATTAAATAAAAAACAAAAGAAAAATCTAAAATATTTTATTTGAAAGAATTCATTTACTTGAATACATAAATAAATAATATAATTAAATAAAACTTATAAACCACATTGATTATCAATAGTTAAAATGATGTTTGCTTCATTGTAATCTTCTTCATGTATTGTCATTTATTCAAACGTAAGAAAAAATTTTAGTTAAATTGTTATCGAAAAGTAATGAAATATATTTTAAAGTTTTTATAAATACATCGAGAAATTTGAGTTAATTAATTGTAATACATCAATATGATATTTTTTCTGATGCAAAAATGAAACTACTGTTAAAAAATCTTTTAAATAAAACTTGATATTTAAATTTCGGTTTTAATAAATGAGAAATAGCTTTCTAACAACATTGTTTTAATCATATAGTCGATGAAATAATAAAAAAAAATTTCAATTATTTTGGTAAATAATCTAGAAGTTACTGTCGATATAGTTTATTTAATTCTTTATAATTAACTTAATACTTTTAAAAAATTAATTCTTATCGAATTTTATTGACTTTTAAACTTGCATACAAATAATACCCATATACCACAATCCAGTGAAGTTATAGCTGTATCAAACTATTGATACACAAGCGAACATAGAAACTATTCATGCATATCGGTTAAACATGCTGCAATAGATAAAACTATCAATATTTTTTTTCTTTCTTTCTTCTGTTTCATTTAAATCTGTGTAGCCTAGAGTAAAAAATGTAAACATAAAGCGATGCTTAGTTGCTTTCATTATAGTAGCTCCTAGCGGTAGACGTCCTTCGAAAATAAGTTATATGCGATTCAAAACCATAGAAGCAGACTATAATACAGTGATGATGCAGTATATTCAAGCCTAGTCGGATAATAAGTCATTGCCCATGCTTATTATAAATATCTGGTATCGTTTTAAAGAGGCAGAGAAAAGTATATTTTAAGATTTTATTTTTATTGAAAAACAAAACTAGAAAAAGAACTAGACAAAAAGAAAAAGAAAAAATATGCGAGAATGAATGATAACAAAGAAAAAAAGAAAAAGAAAAAATGCGCAAGAATACATAGTAAAAAAGCAAAAAATGAAAGAGGCTAAGAAAAAAAACTAGCTAATTTATAATGTTTTTTTACGTTGATGATGGTTGATGGCAATGTTTGACTTTTTTTATCGATTTTTAACTTTGCCATCATATGTTCTACAAAGTAAAAACAGTAAATTTCTTCAGTATAAAAATAATTAGAAATATTAATCTCAAAGATAAAGTATGATTCATGGAATAAAATATCAACAACAGTCTTTGAATAGCACTTACTTGGCTTATTACGGTTTAACAGTCTATTCAAATATTCCTCTCACCGCGAGAAAATAATATGTGGATATGCAACTATATTGAACAAATTCATGACAAATGATGAATTCAAAAAACAACTTCATTCAAATATTTTGTTCGCTTCGAAACAAAGATGTCGAATTCATCACATAGTGCAGAAGCACGCAACAAATGAATACTTCAAACTAAGATTCAATTCAAATTTTTGCTCAGTTCGAATCAAAGATTTCGAGTTCATTATATGATGAAGAAACACACGAGAAATGAGTATGTGAAACAAACATTCATTTCAAATATTTTGCTCAGCTCGCAGAAAGCATTTCGCATTTACTATACGATGGAGAAACACACGACAAATGAGCGGTTGCGACAAACATTTCTTTCAAATTTTTTGCTCCGTTTTAAGGAAAGATTTCGAATTCATTACATGAAGGAGAAACACACAAAAAATGAATGATTCATAGCAAGATTTTATTCAAATATTCTGTACAGTTCGGAGCAAAGATTTCAAGTTGATTCCATGATGGAAGAACACACAACGAATGAATGATTCATATCAAGATTCCGGTCAAATATGTTATCCAGTTCGGAGCAAAGCTTTCGATTACATTACAAGATAGAGGAACACAAATAAATGATTAATTCATACGAACATTCAATTCCAATAGTTTGTTCAGATCAAAGCAATGATTTTCAGTTCATTGCATGGCGGACGAACACATAAAAAATGAGCAGCGTAAACAAGCATTCATTAAAAATATTCTGCTCATTTCGAACCAATTATTTCGATTTCATTACACGGCGGAGAAACATAGAACAAATGACTAATTCATAGGAAGATTCTATTCAAATACTTTGTTCAGTTCGAAGCAGAGATCCAGAGTTCAGTTTGAGACAGAGGAACGCACAAAGACACAATAATTCATAACATGATTCTCTTCAACCATTTAGTTCAGTTCGAGGCAAAGATTTCGAATTCATTTCATGGCGGAGAAACACAAAACAAATCAATAATTCATACCAAGATTCTACGAAAATATTATGTTCACTTTGAAGCTGACATTTCGAGTTCATCACATGATAGAGGAACACATAATGAGTGATTAATTGATAGCAAGCTACGGTTCGAACATTTTGTTCAGTTTCAAGGAGAGATTTCGAGTTCACTACATGAAGGAAAAACACACAACAAATGAATGATTCATATCAAGATTTTATTCAAATATTTTGTACAGTTCAAAGCAAAAATTTCGAGTTGATGCCATGATTGGGGAACACACAACAAATGAATGATTCATATCAAGATTCCGGTCAAATATTTTGTTCAGTTCGAAGGAAAGGTTTCGGGTTCATTACATGATGAAGGAACACACAATAAACGATCAATTCATAGCAGGATTTTATTCAAATATTTTGCTCAGTTCGAATGAAAGATGTTGAGTTCAACGTGTGGTCGGGAAAACACGTCAGTCAAGCGGCTCAAACAAACATCCATTTCAACTATTTAGTCAAGTTCGAAGCGAAGATTTCGTATTGATAACCTGATCGAAGTACATGCACCAAACGATTAATACATATGAAGATTCAATTCAAATATTTTATTCAGTTTCAAGCACAAATTTCGAGTTTATTACACAGTGGAGGCACATCGAACAAATCAATAATTCATAGGAAGATTCTATACAAATATCTTGTTGAGGTAGAAGCAAAAGTTTCAAGCTTCTCACACAGTGGAGGCACATACAGCAAATGATTAATTCATACCAAGATTCTATACTATCATTTTGTTCAGCTCGAAACAAAGGTTCTGAGGTCATTACATAGTGGAGGAACACAAAACAAACTATTAATTCATACCAAGATTCTATACTATCATTTTGTTCAGCTCGAAACAAAGGTTTTGCGGTCATTACATAGTGGAGGAACACACAACAAACTATTAATTCATACCAAGATTCTATACTATCATTTTGTTCAGCTCGAAACAAAGATTTCGAGTTCATTACATCGTGGAGGAAGACAGAAGAAACGAATAACTTCTAAAATGCTTCTATTGAATTATTTTGTTCAGTTAAAAGGAAAGATTTCGAGTTCATTACATAGTGTACAAGTACGCAACAAATGATTAATTCATAGCAAGATTTTATTCAAATATTTTGCTCAGTTCGAAGAAACGGTTTGGAGTCCATTACATGGTGTAGAAACACACAACAAATGATCAATTCGTACCAAGATTCTCTACTATCATTTTGTTCAGTTCGAAATAAAGATTTCGAGCTTATTACATCGTCGCGGAAGATAGAAGAAATGAATAATTCATATCAAGATTCTATTCGATCATTTAGTTCAGTTCGAAGGAAAGTTTTCGAGCTCATTACATGGTGTAGAAGCACACAACAAATGATTAATTCATATGATGATCAACCCAGATATTTTCTTCAACTTGAAGTAAAGATTTCGAGTTCATAACCTAACGAAGGAATACACCACAAATGAATAATTCATTAAATGCTTCCATTCATGTTTTCCGTTTAGTTCGAAGGAAAGATTTCGGGTTCATTACATGATAGAGGAACACACAATAACTGATTAATTCATATGAAGATTTAATTTGATTATTTCGTTCAGTTCGAAGCAATCATTTCGAGTTCATTACATGATAGAGGAGCACAGGTTAAATGAGCAGCTGAAACAAACACTAAGTTCAAATATTTTGTTCAGGTCGAAAGGAACAATTCGAGTTTGTTACATGGCGAAGGAGCACTCAGAAATGATTAATTCATATTAATATTCTATTCGATCACTTAGTTCAGCTTGAAGCAAAGATTTGACGTTCATTAAATGGCCAGGGGGCACGCAATAAATGAATAGTTCATATTAAGATTCTATTCGATCATTTAGTTCAGTTCGAAGCAAGATTTTGAGTTCATTACATGATAGGGGAACACATAATAAATGATTAATTCATACGAAGATTGAGTTCAAATAGTTTTTCAGCTCGAAGCAAGGGTTTTGAGTATATCATATGATGGAGAAACACACAACAAACGAATAATCCATATCAAAGTTCGATTCAAATACTTTGTTCAGTTTGAAGCAAAGATTCCGAATTAATTAGAGACTGAAAGAGCACACAAGAAATAAATAATTCATATTAAGGCTCTTTCGAAATATTTTTCTGAATCGGAAGCAAAGATTTTAGGTTCATTGCATGATAAAGGAACACACGAGAAATGAGCAGCTGAAACAAAGATTCATATCAAATGTGTTATTCAGTTTGAAGCAAAGATTTCGAGTTGATTATATAGTAGAGGAACAGACAACAAATGAATGATTCATAGGAAGATTCTTTTCAAATATTTTATTCAGCAGAAAGCAAAGATCTCGCGTTGATTACAGGATGGAGAAGCACAAGGCATATCAAGTTTCCAAAACAAACTTCTATGGAAATATTTTGTTCAATACGAAGGAAAGATTTCAAGTTCTTTAGATGCTGTAGGATTACATAGGAGATGAATAGTTTATATCATGATTGTATTCAACCATTTAGTTAAGTTCGAAGCAAAGATTTCGAGTTCATTACATGGTGGAGGAGCAGACAACAGATGAATAATTCATAAGATGATTGCATCTGAATATTTTATTTAGATCGAAGCAAAGACGTCGAGTTCATTACATGATGGAGGAACAGATAAGAAATGATCAATTCATAAGATGATTCTATTCAAATGTTTGGTTAATTCGAAAGGAAGATTTCAAATGCATTAGATGATGGAGAAACAGACAAAAAATGAATAATTCATAGTAAGATTCATTTCAAGTAGTTTGTTCAGTTCCAAGGAAGCATTTCGAGTTCATTACATGATGGCGGAACCACCAACAAATGAATAAGTCATAAGATGATTATATTCAAATGTTTTGTTCAGTTCAAGCTAAAGATCTCGAGTTTATTGCGTGATGGAGAAACCAACAAGAATGAATAAGGCATAAAATGATTCTATTCAAATATATTGTTTAGTTCGAAGGAATGATTTTGAGTTAATTACATGATGGAAGAACCAACAAGAAATGAATAATTCATATCAAGGTTCGATTCAAATCTTTTGCTCAACTTGAGGTAAGGATTACATGGTCGTGACATGCTGGAGATCACATAGCAAATAATTAATTCATATTAAGAATCTGTAGAAATATTTTGTGTAGTGTGAAAAGAATATGTGAGGTTAGTGAGATCGATGGAAATCATATGAGAAATGAATATTTTAAGCAGGGTTCTATCTGAATACTGAGATTTACATTATTTGGGTTATGTGTGTTGTGATTAGATAGAAAACCTCATGGAAAATGAAAAATTCGTACGCTTGCGGAGTAAATGACGAAGTGGGGTAATTTGCGAACCCTGTGATCATTTTTTAGTTTTGTTTCAGTAAATTGCGTGTCAATATATTTGCGGAGTATGTAATTGATAATTGTTAGCTAAGATTTTGACTTTTTCTTTAAACAGCTCACGAGGGAGTCCCTCGAGGCGATTAAAATCTTTTAGAGTCAGACTACTCTTTTTTGGCGATTCCAGTTAATAAGGAAATACCGTAAGTTAATTTATCTCTTTAGTGCTTCTATGGAAGTTATGAATGTTTGATGGATTCATTGAAGAACACGATTTTGCATATTTATTTCAATTTTGCATTTAAACTACGTAGTATTGACGTAAGATTTTAGTCTTTTTATGAAAATGTGTGAGAAAAGAAGCCGAGAAGAAATATCGGTTTCTGCTGATGTTTATTAATGCATATGGTATTGGATGAAGAAATGAATGAAGGATAGAATTTTGTTACAGTAGCGGCAGCGTACGAATGAGAACAAATCGCAGGATGTAGCGTCTCAATGAGATTGACTGAGTCGAAGCTAACGTCTATTACCGTTTGAAATCGATTGGGGTGATTGTCAAGAGAACCACTCTTGTACCATGCGTAACGTGTCGTAGGTATATAGAGGGGAGTTGAGATTTGATTATGGATGAGCGATTGAAGTCTGATGGGTGGGTGCGGGTGTGGTGTGGGTGTAGGTGCGGGGATAGCTACCATACTCACATAGATGTTCACCTAAACCCACATCCACACCCGCACCCAACCTTACTTATCTTGCAAGAGTAAATGCCATGTTTGTGTTTGAAGTTGCGTAACCAATTGTTTGACGCAGTAAGTTGATTAAATGACATTGATCTTGCTTGTTAATAACTCCAAAGTTTTAAATCAATGTCATGCGCAGGACAAAGCAAATCTCTGGCATGCTCGAACTTATCATATACAAAATCATCGATAGAATCCACTTTCTGCTTTGTCATTCCTTCATCTTCCACGTATTGTCAGAAACGACCCATATGATATTGATGCGATATACGTGGGTGTGGCGTGAATAAGAAGTAACTACAAAATACCCAAATCCTCTCAGACTTGCTCATCCCTTCATGACTATGTGATTATCGAACAGTCTTACCGATAATTTACAGCAGAATGTTCCGCTGTTGCACCTTGAATCATGTAAACTGCTACTATTAACATAATAACGAAGCCACTCATTTTAATAATGTTGTTGTTCATTATAATTAGTTATTGTTCGAAGTTATATGGTAACAGAAGATGAATATGTTTGTGTGAATTATGAGGATCTGCTTCGGCTTTATATACGCCGATCGTCAAGCAAATAGCAATCAACGAAAAAAAGTTGTTTTTTCGTCGTCGGAGAGAGACAGACAAAGAAAGAGTATCATATCTAGCTGTAGAGAGGGATAAAGATTATTTTTAGCTCGTATACAAAGATGCAAAGAGAGGGATTGTTGAGTATGTACAGGTAGATACAGACATACGTGATTTATTTTTAATTCGTATGCAGTAACCCCAAGAGTGTGATTTTTTATATGTACAGGTGGATAAAGACGTAAGCCAATTATTTTTAATTCGTATGCAATAACCCAAAGAGAAGGATTTTTGAGTATGCACAGTGGATATATATAGACATACGCAATTTATTTTTTAGTTCGTATATAATGACTCAAAGAGAATGATTTTTTATATGTACAGGTGTATATAATCATGCGCAATTTATTTTTTAGTTCGTATACAATGACGCATAGAGAGAGATTTTTTATATGTACACGTATACGCATTTTATTTTTAGTTCGTATACAGTGATTCAAAGAGAGGGAATTATTGAGTATGTACAGGTAGATATAGACATACGCAATTTATTTTTTAGTTCGTATATAATGACTCAAAGAATGGGATTGTTGAGTATGAATAGGTGGATATAGGTATACGCAATTTATTTTTTAGTTCGCATATAATGACTCAAAAAGAGGGATTGTTGGATATGCACAATGGATATATAGACATACGCACTTTTTTATTTTTTAGTTTATATATAGTGACTCAAAAAAAGTGATTTTTGAGTATATACAAGTGGATAAAGACATACGCAGTTTATTTTTTGGCTCGTATATCGTGACTCAAAGAGAGTGACTCTTTTTTTCTAACTAGTGAATTGAACATAAATTTACGATTGCTTATTAATGAAAAGAATAAATGATAGGAGTAAGAAAAAATGATAGGAGTAAGAAAAAATGAAAAGTAAATAAATAATAACGTACTTTTTTCTAATAATTTCGATTGTGATTTATAAAAAATTAACTGAAGACGTTTTAAAAGGATAATCAACAGGTATTTATATTTATTCTATAATAGAATATATAAATTAATTTTTATTTTCATTAAACATAAACATATATTAAAAAACATGCATTCTACCAATGTTTTTGATGAGAAAAATAGAAAATTAAAGCTTTTGAAGTATTGATAGATATTGACTGTTCGTTGAGATTTGACGAGATATACTATTAAAAAATTAATTTGTATATAGTAGAACTGTAGGATTCATTTCAGTTAGTTGATAGACATTAAAACGTGCTTTAAATTGTTTAGTTGCTTTATCAATTTCATATGTATCTCCACGAATATAATTGACAGTAATCTTTTCTGAAGAAGGTGCATGAGCAAATCCTAATTAGACCTATAAAAAAAATATATATATGAAAATTACAGATTGTTTTTTTATATTTTATACTTGTTTTTCAAATGTAAAACCATATACTGTAGAAGTAACAAATCCAGAAAATTCACCATTACGATAAATAGGTTCACCACTTAGTATTTCAATAACCATGGATCTGAATCAAGATTATGATCTTCAAGAAGAAATTGAATAAATCGTTTTTATATACCATCTTGTCGTTAGATTCTATTTTTACATAAAATGATATATGATATTGTCGATTTAAATGAAATGATGTTGTTTTCTTATCGATATCATGTCTCCAAGATGGGTACATACGTTTAATTCGAAGAGTTCATTGAGTAAAGTATCTAAATTAATATATATATAAGAATTTATTAAAATTATCAATATTACTCACCATTGATTATTCCATAATCTTTACCTTGTTTCATTAATATATCGTATACACATGAAGCATACTAGAAAAGAAAAATAATCATCAACAAGTATAAAATATATTTTACTTCTGATGGAATAAAAAACATAAAACCATCTTCACCAGTATGTGTTAATCGCATTGCATATATGTGACTAACAAAACTAACATCAATTTCCTAAAATGAATGAATGATATTCTTTTTTAACTGTTTTTAACATCGTGCTTTACCAAATGTACCTTGTTTACATAAATCTTCTGTATTACAAAAAAAGAAATTAAAAAACATTTTCTTTTAGTTTCAAAATACTTTTTCCTGCTTCATCTGGTTTAAAAAATAGTAGACGTTCGCAATTAAGTACTTCATTATAAGTTGGATGCTTCAATGAATATTGTTTTCCTATTATAAATTAATATAATAAAATAAAAAAAAAAGAAAGTATCTAAAATTTTACTTAGTATTTCTCATAAGCAATCTTGAAAAAAATCGTTTATTTGTGTATCAACAGATCATGTACTTAAATTTGTATTTCTATTATGTATTAATTCAGCTATAAATTTTGCAACTCTACCAGCAAGTGCTATGCCATGTCCATTAGAATCGGATGCAACGAAATAATTATCAATCTAATGATTTCTTTATTTTATAAAATATTTCTATTCATTGAATAAACAAATAACTTCAGCTAATTCATTCAATATTAATCGACCATCCAGTGTAAAACTATCAGCGCCAATAATTAATGTTTCATATTCACTTTCAGTTAGAATAGGAAATCGTTTGATAGTATTACTTAATATCCAATCTAGAAAATAAGTATAAATATATGTTGAATAAAATGATGATAACCTACGAAAATCTTCACAATTATCGGGTAGAAGTGAAAAATGAAATGTATCAAAGATCAATTCATAATGTTCTTATCGGCACTATGTCTTTTGAATCGAAATATTACAATGTAATTCTATATTTCGATACGGAATATAAGATGATCTATATGCTTTTGTAAACAAAAGCAAATAATGCTTTATTATCGGTTAATAAATAAAAAAAATGCATCATCTGACTCTATACAGAAACATAAGTAAAAACTAATATCATATTCTATACAAATAGTATTTACACATCATTGCAGAACAGGTATTCTTATATATGATTGTTTGTATTCCAAACCTTTATATTATAATAATATTCTATAGATTTCTATTTTAAAGTTCTAATTAAATGTTTTATTCAATATTGATCATTAGAGTTATACTATAGAGTACTTGACAAATGTTCTAACAATGTTCACAAAGTTTATTTATATTACAATAATACCCGAATCGATTAATTACAAATAAAGGATAGATTAGTAAACAATATCATAATGATATCGATTGGATAAAAAATTATTTATTTTAATATAAACATATTTAATTGAATACTACTAGCGCTATTCTTCTCATTGCTCACTTAAAAATAACTTCAATCATGATGATAATATGGATGAAGAATTAAATATATTAATATCCATTTATTTGGATGATTTTTATTATAAATTATGATAATCCAATTTCTTTAAATATAACAATATATTCTAATGGAGATGAAAATGAGTTAGATCGTGATAAACGTTTATTATGTATAGTATTCATTGCAGAATTTCCATCGATATATCTAGATTTAAATTCACCAAAAATAACTCTTTGTCGTCCTCGTGGTTTAACAGGCGAATAAATCGATGAATTAAATTCTTTAATATATTTTTGTGTACTTTATGAATGTATTGAAGATCCTGTATGTCGACAAATACTTTCGAATAATGTTATTGAAAAATTACTATCATCATTAATTGACATGTACATTTTCAACAGTAACGAATTTAACTAATAAACGCAGTTCTATTCATCTAGAAAGATTTTAACATCTACTGATTAAATGACTTTATTTTCAATAAAAAAACTGAAACGAAGGAATATACCATCAAGTTTTATTATCATTCATAATCACACCTAGATCTTCACAGATACCGTGGAAAATAGTTAATAATCAGTATTCATTTCATTTATCTCGAAATGTAAAGCGACGCTTCCTGTAAGCGAAAAGAATGAACTATCTTACAAATTATTCTTTGAGTACGACGGAATAGATCAAAGAGAACTAATAATAATAATAATAACTGATTACATATTTTAACGTGCGTATAAAAGAGATAAATCTAATTTGGTATAATAAACAATGAACCATTCTTTCAATATATTTTTGTTATACAGACGTCGCTACCTTTCGAGAGAAAGGATTAGATTCTTTTTTTTGAGTTGGTCGATTCAAAAGACGAATCATTTTACTATTTGTTTATTTGATTGTAATACAATATCTTTTTAGATTTAGATAATACATAATGTGGTCTCAAACTATCCGTCGTCTTTCAACATCTGCCTTAACTCGTGTACGTCATCCTAAATTACGTCGTTCGACTCATTATGCTACATTGACTGATAAAGATGTAAGCTTTTTTGAGCGACTTCTTCCCAGTGGACGTACAATAACAAATCCTGATGAATGTTTACCTTTTAATATAGATTATATAAAATCATGTCAAGGACAATCTCAACTTGTTCTTCGACCTAAAACTGTTGATGAAGTTCAAGCAATTCTTCGTTATTGTAATGAACATCAATTAGCTGTATGTCCACAAAGTGGAAATACTGGACTTTCAGGTGGATCAGTACCAGTTTTTGATGAAATTATACTTTCATTACGTTTACTTAATTCAATTGGTAATTTTGATGAAAATAGTGGTGTTTTAACGACAGATGCTGGTTGTGTATTAGAAAAATTAGATGCTCATGTACGTCAATTTGGACATATTATGCCAATAGATTTAGGTGCAAAAGGATCATGTTTAATTGGTGGTAATGTTGCAACAAATGCTGGTGGATTACGTGTTGTTCGATTTGGTTCACTTCGTTCAGCTGTACTTGGTTTAGAAGTTGTTTTACCTGATGGTAGTTTACTTGATTGTTTAACATCAATACGAAAAGATAATACTGGTATTGATCTTA